AACTAAAGCAAGATTTGATTGAGAAACATGACATTGCTACCTTCATTTGCCTGTGTTGGAAAATTTCAAGCAATTGCTGCCTCCACCTTTACATAAGCATTAGTCTGAAACAAAGTATATTTCACGCAAGAAAATTCCACCAATTGCTTAGTATATAGAATTGATTTTACAATATGAAGAAATGACTCAAATGACTCAAACTTATGATTATAATTTTTAAAAAAATGATGTCTTTTAAAAGTGAATAAATTGCAGGAATGATCATTAATGATGAATGGGACGAAGAGATTTTTAATAAAAGTTGAACCATCCATATCATCTGAATCTCCTACAGAAACAAAACCCATATCACCAAAATACTAACACTGTACATATTATTAATGATTTGCGTTTTCACAAAGTAGAGGAGGGAGAAGCATATAACTCGAATTGGAAACATAAGTATCCAGACTCACCACCAATGAATTATTCCCATAAGAAAAGTTGTCCAGAATAGAATCCAAAATTGAAGAACAAAAAATTTGAAGAACCAGTAAGAAAACATGCTCTGGAGCGTGCATTCTTGGTTAAACTCAAAAAATCCATTTTATTAGCATTCAGGATAGAAGATTGATTGTAATGAGGGAGAAGTTTAGTCAAAGAAAGCTTGATACAAGGACTTGTCTGGCTTTAAAGGTGCCTTCTTTCTCTGCCTCGTCGGTTCCTCCCCAGCCTCGCCTCTCGCATGATAGTTATTTGCCCATTCATTTCTAAGACTGATAAAGCCAGCTCCCCACTTGGGTCCTCACCTAACCATTAAAACCAAGACTAGAATCATCTAGCAAAATAATAAGACCAAAATCATTCACCTTCAATCCAGATGAAAGATACGGTTCAAAAAGCAAACGAAAGGAAATCTGAAATAAAGACAAAAATGAAGAACATAACTTTTCTGGTTTTCCCACTTGCCTGGGTGAGATTCGATGGCAGAGGAGGGGTTAGAGTGTTCAAAAACCTGAGATGGAACGTGCCAGAGGGTAATCAAAATTTGAACACCCTTGGATTAGAGAGATGAGAATGTAGGGGAGAGAAATTTGATCACAACCTTCTGGAATCTTTCTTTCGGGTTTCATGCTTGAAAGAGGGAAGACATTTGCTCAGTCAAATGATTTTGAATTTTGAATTTGAATGGAACTGTCTCTCTAGGGACCGACCCAAAACGGAAATAGATTCTCTCTTGCCTCTAGAGTTGTTGGCCTCTTCTCCATTTGCATGTCTCTGCACCTGCGATTCAGCCTTCTACAGTTCTGCATCACTGTGACTCTGAATGCTGCTTCGCTCTCTCGTTTCCTTCCCATCTCCCATCTGCTTGGCTTCCCGCTGAAAACACTCGAGAAGGGCTCCAGGGCTTGTTTGGTTTGAGGGCAAGGGAGGGGAGAAGAGGGGAGAGGAGAAGAGGTTCCATCTTGTTTGATTTGATTTGAAAAAAAAAAAAGGTAGGATAATTAATAATTTTTTATTTGGCTCAACAAGGAGAAGAAAAGGATAATAATAATCAATATATCATTTTATCTTTACATATTAGTTTATATTTTTTGTTGATATATCATATAAATTAATTTACATCTTAATTTAAATTATATAATGTAATGAAAATTCAGTCTTATCATATTAATATGTGCATTAAAAAATTGGTACAGTAATTTTTTATTCTAATTAATATAATAATATATTTAAAATAATTAAATTAACAAATTTTATATGCTCCAAGAAAAATGAAATTTTATTCTCTTTAAATTATCTTTTTTTCAGCTTTAAAATATATTTAATAAATGATATATTTATAAAAAAACAATTAATTTTAGAATATTATAATTTTTTATTTAAATATTTTTTATTTTTTATTAATTTTTGTTATAATATATTTTTAATTATAATAATTTATATTTTTTATTTTTTACTTAAAATAATATATTTTTATTTGAAATAAATATTATAATAATATATTTTTATAGGTAGCAGTGAAATATTAAAAAATCATAAAGATATGATGATCCAAAAGTTTATATACTTTTCAAAAACTCTAAATTTGGGGGGAGCTAAAAATAGGGAGGGAGGGGAGGAGAAATTTTGATTTCTTTTCCCTTTAAAATTTTTAACCAAATAAAAAGAGGGATTCATTTTTCTTCCCTTCGTTACCTTTCCCTCCAACCAAACAAACCCTTAGTCTAAACGAACTTTTTTTTATCCTCTCCACCTTCGTTACTTATTTTGGGTATTGCGTATTTTTTTTAATTTTGTTGCACTTGAATTTTATAATTTATATTAACAATATTCTGAAAAGCTAATTATATATATTCTGAAAAGTTAATTATAAAAATTTCATAAGATTATAGGGAATAATAAATGATTGTGCTAAGATTTTGTTTTTAAGAAAAATTTATAAGGATATGAAATAATTAAAACAATAATCTTCAACAACTTAAAAGAATAATTTTTCCAATATTTAAAAAAGGCAAGAAAGATAAAATATCTTATTTTCATTCATAATTATTACCTTGTATTTAAAATAAAAAAGTTACAAATTAAAATTTTTATAAGATTATAGTGAATAATAAAAGATGGTGCTAAGTTTTGGTTTTTAAAAGATGTGAAATAATTTGAAAAATAATCTTTAACAACCTTATAAAAAATGCTGGTGAAAAAAACAACCTTATAAAAAAATAATTTTTCCAGTCTTTCATTTCTGTATATTTAAAAAAAGGTAAGAAAGAGAAATATCTAGTTTTCAACAATAATTCTTGTCATGTATTTAAAATAAAGAAAAGAAAGTTACAAAGTAAAAATTTTGCAAGTTTATGTTGAATAATAAAAGCTTCTGCTGAGACTTTGTTCTCAAGAAAAACTTCAAAGGATATGGAATAATGTAAAAAATAATCTTCAACAACCTTCAAAAAATAATTTTTTGATTTTTATTAATATAAATGTTTTAAAAAGATAAAAAGAAGAGAAAATATCTTATTTGTAAGGGAAAATTGCAAAAAAAGACCTTGGAATTGCAAAAACGCAGATAGGGACCCTTGACAACTTCACTTTGGGTTTTGACAAGTCAAAACCCAAAGTGAAGTTGTCAAGGGTCCCTATCTGCGTTTTTGCAATTCCAAGGTCTTTTTTTGCAATTTCCCCTATTTGTAACCATAATTCTTGCCTTGTATTTAAAATAAAGAAAAGAAAGTTTCAAAATAAAAATTTTATAAGATTATAGTGAATAATAAAAGATCGTGTTAAGATTTTGCTTTTAAGAGAAGCTTATCCATAATTGAAAAAATAATTTTCAACAGCGTTAAAAATTAATTTTTCTAATTTTATTGTTTTATATATTCAAAAAAAGCAACTTTTTAGAAATGTTTTTAATGTCTTTTATGACCGGATTTCTAGGCCTATTAAAATAATATTGCACACAGTCACTTAATTGAGCCACATAACACGAAGTCCGAGAATCCTAAATGCAAGCAATACATAATTTATGAAGGCTTGTAAACAGTAATTTAGGTGTGGAGCTAATAGTAAGCCATTTTTAAACGTCGCTTGCTGGAAGAGTTTTAATATATATATATATATATATACATATTGATATTCATGATGATATTGATGATATTGATTTGATGATTCTTTTAAGTCCGGGTTAATATAAATTTTAGTCCTTTAAATTTAGGTCAGTTTTGATAATAGTTCCTGAAATTTAAAATGCATAGTATTGGTTCTTGAAATTTTGACTGTTGCAAAACGTTGGTTTCCCGTACCTTCACACCGTTAACTTTGTCTGAGGTGGCACTATCAGTGTAAACCTAATAAGTTGGACACATATGCGGGCACATTTGTGGGCCGATGACCTGGACACAAAACCTAAAGAAAGGGACCGTTGAAACGAAACTCCCAGGAAAAAAAAAAAAAAGGAGAAATGGGCGCTTATCGTCACTGAGCACGTTGTTGATCTCTCCCACTAATTCACCTTGTGATGGATTCATCTTCAAGAAAAATGCAATTCCATGGTCCAAGTGGCATATGGTATATTTTATGTGCGGCTAAGAGAATGGTGCCCAGGACTCAAGCTTGCTCACTTGCTTACGGTGGATTCATCTTCGAAGTATGCCATACACTTTAGTTATTAGATCTTGGAATAACATAAGTAAATTAATGTTTTTTCAACTTGCAACTTATATACCGTGTCATTAAAAAAAAAAAAAAAACCGCTTTGACAGGTGCCGATTCCACTTTATAATGTGTACTCCATTGATTATGCCTTGCCAACTATTATTATATGCAATTGAAACTTATCATATCCACCCATGATACTGTTAGGACATTAGCAAAGTTACATCTCTGTTTGTCTCTGTTTTTGAGACCCAAAACAGAGCTAATAAAATAAAGATCATGCTGGTATTAATGGCTATTCTTCATGCTAGTATCAATGGCCCACATTTTGGTTTGTATTTTAATTCAGAGATTGCCTAATACACTATATATATATACCTATTCTACTTTGATACAGAGATGATATATATATAGATATATATATTCCACTTTAAAGCGGATGTAGCTCATTGGATAATTAGCAAAACGAATGGGAGAAGACTAGTTAAACGGAGCAAAATGATAGGAACCTTACTTGTCTTCAGCTTCTTGCCAGCTTACACAATGTTTTCCAGAGGAGTCTGGACATTCTCAGTACTGTAATATATATGTGTATCACAGGATCGCAGTCGCAGCCCAAGAACTACTTAATGGCCCCCGAAAAACTTTTTTTTTTCCAAAAAAAAAAAGGCAGATGTCTCGATCCTTCAAAATTGTCTACAACCTTCCTCTGTCTTCCACGTGCCACACCACGTCTCTTCTGGACGCCACGAGGCATCCCTCGCCGACAAGTGTCACACACGCTCCCGAAAATCCCGCTCCTACATATAAACAAACTCGCGCGCTGGCAATCTCCGAACAACAATCCGTTGAGAACTAACCCGATCGGCGAACCAATGGCGAGCGACGGAAGCGAGGAGTTCAGGCTGGTGTCTCCGACAATAAGCAACGAAGGCAAGATCCCGAGGCATTACACCGACGAAGGACAAGGAGCTAAGAAGAACGTGTCGCCACCGTTGGAGTGGTACAACGTCCCGGAGGGCACCAAAACCCTGGCTCTGGTGGTGGAGGATATAGATGCTCCGGATCCGGAAGGGCCGATCGTGCCCTGGGTGCACTGGGTGGTGGTGAATATCCCGCCGACGGTGAAGGGGCTCCCGGAGGGATTCTCCGGCGAGGAGGAGGAGGCCGGTCGAGAGTATGCTGGCATCAAAGAAGGCAATAATGATTGGAAGATCCCTGGGTGGCGTGGCCCCAGATTGCCTAATCACGGACATAGGTTCGAGTTCAGGCTTTACGCTTTGGACGATGAGCTTCATCTCGGCAACAAGGTATTAGAATAAAATTATATGTCCATGCATAAAATTACTTGTTCTTCATCAAAATCTTCTTGTGATTGTTTCTGGATGCATGATTCTGTAAGAAATCACAAGCTCTGGGATTTGATTTCTGTGACTGGATGTGATAGGTAACGAAGGACAAGCTTATGGAGGCAATCGAAGGGCATGTGCTGGGGGAAGCGGTGTTGATGGCTAAATTCTGAGCTCTCTCATTGTAAAAATTGAAGTAACTGTGTTGGATATGCAGTGTCCTTAATCATCAGTTTTTACTTTGTACTGGTTTTGAAATGTCACATCATTGCATATTACATGTAGTTCTTAAACCATAACCTTCTCCGTTTAGGTTATTTTAGAAGTTCATTTCTTCTTTGTTGATGAGTTAAAAGTATTTTAGTACTGATACCCTAACAGAGAAGTGGAAGTAGATTATTATTGCTGTAGATTAATAGCGTAGCAAATCTGGTTATGTAATGAGATCTCTACCTTAAAAAAAAAAATAGTATGTAAGGTTTTTTAAATAAACATCAAAAAGACAAATATAGAGAAAATATATATTTACAAACGAAAGGAGGGAAAGTAATATTTTTGGTTAAAATATTTTTCCTGAATTTTAGCTTGGGTATAGGTAATTTCGTGAAATTTTAAATTTGAGATTGACTCTCTTATAATTTTTATATTTATGTAAATAATTTATTTCTAGAGAGTATAGCTTGATATAGGGTTTATTTGATTTTAAGTTTAGGAAAAATATATTCTTTGAGTTTATTTTTTGAATCGGTTTATCCTTATTTATATTTTTAAAAAGTACAAAGTACAGCGGGATATGGGGTTTGTTATTTGATTTTAAGTTTAAGAATAACATACTCTTCCGTTTCTTATTAGAAGGTTTTATTTTTTGAACTTATTTATAAGTATTTTTTAAGCTTACTGTTTTTTTTAAAGTTTGCTTAAACAGTAAATATATTTTACTCGCTTTATATTTAATTAGTATACTCTTTTTTATTATTATTTTTATACAATTTATTCTATTTTTTTTCCTCACTCATCTATTTAGGAATAAAGACATATTTTGGGTAAAAAATATATTTTTAATATATTTATTATTTTTAATTAATTTTAATATATTTTTAAGATTTTATAAAGACGGAGGGAATATTTATGTGTGTAAAGAACATGAGCGGTTATTCAGAGAAGGGGAAAAGGTTTGAAGGGTAACATTGTTGCATATCCAGTATGCTAGTAAAATAGAAAAATAATCCATAGGAATGGATGGTTATTCGCAAAAGCTAACAAATAATTCTGCTGTAAGACTCTTGAAAATTTTAAAATTAATAAAATTGTTTTAGCTAAATTTCATGTCATTAATTAACAAATTAAAGTTTTGTGATCATGCCTCGCGTGTTACTGGGCCTTTCTTTCTCATGCCAATGGGACTCAAGGCCCAAAACAAGAAAGAGACCAAGAAGCTGCTTTCATTTTTTTTTTGAGTAGGATGGTATCGCTTCTCAGGATATCCCAGTATAACGGCCAGACTAATCTCAAGTGCACTCGCAGGTATCGAACCCATGACATGGTAGGGAAAGCGCCTTGCGTTCCCGTTTGCGACCAGTCGGACCCGACCCTTGCATGCCTGCTTTCATTATTAGCGGAATTTTGAGTTTTGCAGCTTTGGAGAAAGGCAAAGAGTTAATTTCCTGTAACAGTACTGAGCCGATTTTGAATTTCTGTTGGGATGTGTCAGTCACAGAAAAAGAAAAAACACACAAATGCAGGAATAACCTCATACAAACAAAAAATTTTTCTTATCCTACACACAAATCATTTTAAAATTTGAAAAAATAGATAAGCTACCATTTAATATAGTTGAGTTATTGTAAGATGAATTTCCAAGCTTACATATTAATAATGTTTTGGAAGACTCATTTATTATATATCGAGTGCGTTTATACATTAAAAGTTTCAAGTGTATCACTTTAATTAAATCCCATGACGTGTGTGATCGATGATGGGAGGTGGATATGTTAGATTATTAGCTGCATATATATTAGACCTAATCAATCCAACACCCCCCTTTCCTTTTAGTCCCTCGACATGCTCATGAATGTTTCTCATTGTGCCAAAACTCCCCATCAAGTTCTTCTCTGCTCTTCCTCACCTCATTTTCTAACTATAAGGTGTAAAATCACCTTGATTCAAGCCCTACTTCTACCTTTTTACCAGAAGAAATTTTCATTCCCAACTGATATTATTAATAAACGTCATAAAGCTAATGCTTACCTAACTTTTGATGCACAACAAAGATCCAAGTGGTTAAATTTAGAGTGTCTCTTCTAGCTACTAACTTAACGAGAAAAATGTGTAGGGCAAAATTATAAAGTGGAGTACTCCTCATCCTTAATATAGGATATATGACTTAATCTGAAAGTTGATATTAGTCATATATGTAAAATCTATTTTATATTTTTAATCATTTGTTTGAAATTCACCCTACTAATGAGTAAGTGAGAGAATAAGGAAATTAAAAAAGATGATTATAGTGTTTTAAAAAAAACATATCATATTAATTAATTAAATTAATATTTTTAATTTACTCAAATTAGTTAATTAAGTCTTATATTAAAGATCAGAGAAGTATCATCCGCAAAACAAAGTTATTTTATTTTTATTGTTGCTCAGGTTTCGTGATATATAGCTTGGAAGACTTTGTTTATAATAAACTAACCGAAAGAAACCATCACCTTTCAAGTGTTGTGACTTGTGGTGGGTGTCAAAAGCGGACTCTCGTCTTTGCACACTACAATGACACACGTTACCATCACCTCTGTATATAACAAACACAGTTCGATCGTCTTCCTCCGAGTTAATCATAGGTATGATCTTCAAACCAAAAGAGCACACAACGATCTATCTTGTCCTAAAATGGCAAGCCAACAATTCAAGCCTGTCTCACCTGCAATGCAAAAGGAAGGAAGATTACCAAGATACTGTACACAAGAAGGCGCAGAGACCAAGTGGAACATGTCTCCGCCACTGGAATGGCACAACGTGCCTGATCAAGCCAAGGGCTTGGCCCTTCTGACGCAGGACATCGACGCCGTCGACCCAACAGGCCGCCTCGTTCAGGTGACTCAGTGGGTGGTGGTGAACATCCCGGCCACACTGAAAGGGCTGCCGGAAGGGTTAGTTCTCTGGCGAGGTGGAGGCATTGGAGGATGAGTACGGTGGAATTGAAGAAGGGCTTAATGACTGGAAAGTGAAGCTGTGGAGTGGACCCAAGATGCCTAATTATGGAGATAGGTTCGAGTTCAAACTCTTTGCTTTGAATGCTGGCATGCACTTTGATGACCAGGGATGCATATCGAGTTTCTGAAAAGGGATGTGCATTTATCTATGAAATAGACAAGACCAATTAATGAATAGTTGAATATTTTGCAGGTGACGAAGGAGAAGCTGCTGGAAGCAATAGCAGGCCCCGTTGTTGGAGAAGCCGTAATGATAGGTACTTTCGGATGATGATCTTCATTAATAACTCTAATATTAACTACTGTATGTCACATGCGTATATATCTATGTAACCAGACTAGACCGGGTTTTGCATCAATCCGATGTCAGGTCTAGTTAAGGCATCGAGTTGAATAAATCAACCAGTGATTTGGTTTGGTCTAGCATAAACTCAAGGTCAAGTTGGACTAGACTTGATTCGATCAGACAATCTAGGATTTCAATTTCTTTTTCCCCCCCTTTATCAGAGCCAAGTTCTCCACCCCCCGGGATCAGAGCCAAGATTTCAACCTGATTTAACTTTCTACAACATGAACACAATAATCTCGAACTCAGGCCTCAATTAATCTCATTTATGCAAAAAGATAACTGCAGCAATTATATAGAAGAATTAGAGAGGAAAAAAAAAGGAAATTAAACAACATAAATGGGGGAGAAGTAGAGAGGACGGCAAGTTGGCAACTTTGTTGGACATTACAGACGACGGTGACGCTATAGAGGACGGTGGCGGTGCTGATTTATGTTGGAGTCTTAGTGTATGAGTGTGTCAAAAAAGGTCCCATATTATTAAAGATTGAGAAAACCTTAGGTCTCATTTGGTAGGAAGCATTAAAAATAAGGAATAGAGATTAAAATTGTAATTGAGAAAAATAATTGTAATAATATTCAGTATGAGTAATTGCTTGTTATATGGGATTAGACAAACTCATAGAGGTGGGATTGAGGAATACTACTTCTCTCCTTGGTATTTCCTAATACCACATACATAGGTTTGGCTAATCTTATATATCAAGCAATCTTTTATGTTAAACACTGTTTTAATAGATTTTCTCAATCTCAATTCCAATTCCTATTCCTAATTTTTAATATTTCCCAACAAACAGGACCTTAGTGTTTACTAAAATATGTACTTGAGCTAATAAAATAGCAAAAAGGAGTTTTTAGAATTGACCATTTGAGATGACTGTCTAAGCATTTATGTGCTTTAATTAGTCGCTTTTATTTTTTCATTAACTAGATATAATTGCCTTAAAATGTTTTAGGGATAAAGGTCATTTTTGCCCTGTAAGTTTTCACAAAAGAGCACTGGATATCAGGAAGTTTTTTTTCTTAGAGCAATATTGTTCCAGAAGCAGTAAAAACATAACAATGTGACCCTCTGTTAACAAACCCCAACAGTCAACTGTTAGTTGACCAAACTATGTTGATACGGATCTGCCACATAAGATATTATGGCACGTGTTATTCCACATAGGATGCCAAATCATTAAAATAAAAATAAAAAAGATATGAAAAGCATCTAGGAACAATTGAGAGAATGACCTTGATTCTTCCAAGCATCAATTCTTTATCCACTGCGGCACCTCCATCCCCACTACCTGTGACATCCCCTCCACTCGGGTTACCGTCCCCACCAGCCGTGCATCGTCCCCACCACCTTCGACGCCCCTTCTACCACCCGCAATGCCATCCCCACCACCCATGGCACCGTCCACACCACCCACTGCGCTATCAGTGGACGTTAATATGATGATCTCTCCCTCGTCGGTCGATGAAACTCTCAGGCTTCTCCCCTCTCTTGTTCTCTCTTTCACTTGAGGTGTGCCACTTTATCTCTTTTTCTCTCACATTCTCCACTTCACCATTGCCCTCATCTCTGTCATCATTGACTCCGGTGAACCTCCTCCACCGAGTTCATCTTCATTGAGACTTTGAGTTCTTGGGCAAAGACAAGATGTTCGCGCAAACCAATTTGTACATTCGTGTGCCTGGGAGAAGAGTAGATCACGATTTGAGGTTCAATAACTTCATAGGTATGTGATTAAATGGGATTGTGATTCTAATTCATGAACGAGATTAGGGAATTACAGGTGTTGGCACTAGATTTGCTCAGGGAACTTGTGGAAGTAGATCCTGATTAGTGTTATGTGTCTTTTGTCTTAGTGTATCAAAAAAAAAAAATTAACTCCTGATTTGGCTTCTTTATCTCATCTTCTGCTACTTGTGTCTCTTAGTCATATGGTTTATAATGTTGTCATCCTTAGATCGGTGTTCATCATCATCCCTTTAAATTTGGGTATTCTCTTATTTTGGGGGCTTTTTTTCTTTTTCCAAATTTCAGAAATAATTTATTATTCTACTCTGTTTTCATTTTGTTGATAAGAATGGGTTGGATTTGAAAGAGAGCAAGAAATTGAATTCTTACTCAATCTTCATTAGCTCACTGGTTCTTTTTGACTAGTTCTATTTGCGCAAGTTATTTTATTTTTTCTTCTGTAATTTTTTTTTTAGATTTTGGGATTTGTGAATCAAATCATTGGAGTAGAAAGATTTATTGGGCCTCGTGATTATCATCTCCAGCTAGCTACAATTTTGGGCTAGATAGGGAACAAAGTTTCAACAGAGCAAGAAGGATGATGGTGACATTACATATTACATGGAATAATAGTTGGCATAATATCCCACATGGCAAGAACATATTTAAGGGTGTGTTTGGATTAGCGGTGGAGAAGTAACTTTTTTTTCAATTTAACTTTTCCAAAAGTCAGATTGAGTAAAAGTCAGATTGGGTAATGTGATTTATGTTTGGATTGGGTTTTAGAAAAAAGTCAGTTTGAGAAGCTGAAACTTGTTTGGATGATAAATGTAAAAGTAAGTTTGAATGTAAAATGACTTAAAAGGACATGAATTCTATTAAATAGCACATATCTAATATTAGATATTTAATTATTAAAAGTGAAGAAGTAAGGAAAATAAAAATTATTAAAAGTAAAGAAATTTAATTTAGTATTATAAAGAAATTATATATATAATGTGACTATTTGTCATAAATAAAGTAATGAAAATAAAATTATTAAAAATAAGGAAATTTAATTTATTGTTATAAAGAAATTATATATATAATATGACCATTTTAAAAGAAGTATTGAAAAAAATTTTATTAAAAATAAAAAAAATTAAGTTATTACTAGAAGGAAATTGAAAAATAATAAAAAAACTTAATTAAATATATGTAATGGATAAATATGTAAATTAGAGGTCATACATACGTAGCATTTTTAAACTAAATACATCAAATAACTAATTGGATGCCATGCTCAATACAATTTGGTCTCTGATTGTGTCACGCACATGATTCATTTGTCTTGATCTAGGTAAATTTGAAGAGGATGTCTCACCAGCTTCATCATGATTGTCTTCGTCAATTGTACCTTCAGATTGAGCTTCTATGAAATCTCTATCAGTTTCTGAATTTCTTCGGAGGAAATTATGTATAGCCATTGTAGCACAAACTACTTGGACTTGAGTTTTATACTTGTAACTTGGCATCTTATCTAAGATGCGAAACTTATTCTTCCACACCCCAAAAGTCCTTTCTATAGTGCACCTCAAACTTGAATGGTAGTAATTGAAGACTTCGTTATAATTTTCAAATCCCGGTTGTCGCCTGAAGTCTGGAAGGTGATAGCGCTCACATCTGTACGGACCAAGATATCCTGGTGGAGTTGGATAGCCAGCATCGACCAAATAATACTTCCCTAATAAATCATGAAATTATGTTGACATTGTGAAATTAATGAAAATATCAAATGAATTCGATATAATTAAAATTGAAGCTACTGAAAATATACCTGGAGGTGGATGAGGGAAATCCAAGGCTGGAGTTGAGACAGCAGTGTTAAACACACGAGCATCATGTGCAGTACCTTCCCATCCCGCTAACACAAAAGTGAAGCACATGTCCCAGTCACATACAGCCATGACATTCTGTGTCGGATATCCCTTTCTCCCGATATATTTGTCTTGCTTCGAAAGACTCACCACACATCGTACATGAGTGCCATCAATTGCTCCTATTGCATCATTGAAATATGGCGAATATCGTTTATCGTTTTTTATTTTTGGGTGAGTTACAGAAAACGTAGGATCGAGTGGTTTGATATATTCCCTGGATAGACTAAGGCAAGCCTGTAATACTCTATGAAAATGCCTGCTTACAGTTTCTCCTGAATGTTGAAACCTTTCTTGAATCATCCTATTACATTGTCCATGACCAACCGTGTTCAAAAACATACCAACAATTTCTTCCACTCCCAGATACTTAGAATTTTTTAAACCATGTTCGACCAGTTTAGAGCATAATCGCATGAACATTTCTTTTTCCATTCGAAACATGTCATAACACCGAATTTCATGATCTCGCAAAATTTCTTGCACCCATAAATTACCTGTTTGCTGACTAGTTCTTCGTGGCTCTTTGCACACATAAGGCATCACATATTGACTCACCAATACAGCTACCTCTTCATATTGTGTTATCTCTTCATCTAAAAGGGAAATCAATTGAGACTGTTCATCTTCCTCCGACTCCTCTTCAGACTGTTCATCTTCCTCCATCCACTCAAACGTAAATTGATTGTTCCAATTTGCCATAGATAATGTCACCTGTGAGTGTGGTTAAATTCAACTGTAAGAATTTTTTTAAACGACAAATAAATATTTTTAGGTATGTGCAAATAAATATTTCTTTCTGTTAAACATGCAAAGACATAAAAATTAGTCTAAAAACATTCATAAGCTGCAATTACCATTATAAATAACACATGTAACTTAAAAACATTCATAGTCAGTTAACAAGTTACATAATTTCATAGTTCCACAAACATTAACTTAAAAACATATAATAACAACTCTGGTCCGAGTTAGACAAAATAAAATCATAACATGCGTCCTAAAATATAGTTCAAGCAGGCGGGGGTTTCAGCCATGATGGTGGATTGTATGCCATATCCTGTAGCCATGCAACCAAGTATTCCGGCTGTCCTTTTAGTGAAACAACCATTTCCCGAACACTCTTGTGCAACAGAAGTCTTAAGCACCGGTTCCGGAAATCAGAGTCACTTGTAATTTCCTCAAGGCAGAGCACTTCGGCCGTAACCTCAGAAATTGATACCTCTTTTATTTTCTTAAGAGTTGCAGCTCTATCCTTAGATGCAGTAGCTATTTCACTAACTGAATCCGCTATTTGTCTTGAGGCTGGAAGTTTTTGCTTTGTTTGCCTGCTAGACCCTTCACCTCTCTTCCTCTTCCCATGGCTTCCTGAACCACTAGATGCAGTATTTGCTGTTAAGTTTACGCCTGCCATCTCATCCGTAACTCCTACACTAGCACCTCCAAGATCTTCTTCGCTATCCCCCGATCCTTCAAGGAGATCTGTATCAACTCTATACACATTCTCTTCATCATCCTCTTGTGTCTGAGGTTGGGTTAAAGACGGTGCCAACATATCCTCTCCAGATGCTATCACACCCTTGAATATCGTGTTTAATTCATGAGCAAACTTTAACCCCTGGTACCTAAACTTTTCATACTGGGGATTCTCCTGCAAGAATACAATCAACAAAAATAAAAAGCCTATAATAAGTAATAACACAGTTTATAACTCAAGATCAACAATTATATACCAGTTTTTTCTTCTCCCACCACTCATTTGTTGCCACCACTGTATTGTTTACAGGGTCCCAACCTACACCAGTCTCTTTGGTTAAATCAACCCATGTCCTCCAATCCTTCCTCAAGCTATCGAGCCTATTTTTCAATTGCTTCTTCTCATATGATTTTCCTGTTTTTGCATTGAATGCAGAGTGAATGTTGTTCCACCCAGTCTTTGAAAATGATGTTCCTTGACGATTTTTCCGGTAGATTTGCTCCATGCATTCTTTAAGTAACACCTCTGTGGTGCTTGTATCCCATGTTGCCTTACTTTTTTCTTTGTTCATAGTTCTATTAAAAAATGTCAATCAAGAATGCAAAAGGGAGTTACAATGAACCAGAACACTTTTCTTCCAACAATGCAGAAATATTATGTTTCTTTTGTAAATAAATATGAGAGGAAATATCTAATATATATAATATTTATAAATTATAATATCACAATCATATATATTTAGGTTTGTAAAACATACTTATCAACAATAAGCATTATTGATGAATATATACGCCACTTTTTACAAACACTGATCTTCAGACTTTCAAACTAAAAAACGTATACTTTTCGGAGCTTGTGGCAAATAATTAACAGCAAAGGGGTAGTCAGTTTGCCAGAACCACAAATCATAAAATAGAAACATAGAACTACAAATAAATAGAAACACAGATCTTCAAATTTTCAAACTAAAATGCGCTTACAAGTTTGACCTTGTCACAAATAATTAACAGGAAAGACAGACTAAACACAGCCAAAAAACCACATTAATCGATACGTTCAAGTCAGTTCTTCCTACTACACTACTACCAAGTTCGACAGCCAGGCCACACTAATCGAAAGAACATCAGATTAATAGCAAGAATATCATATTAACACTCCTATAACAGCCATGCGTCCGACCGCAGCCAAGAACAATCGAAGAGCCAAGAACAATCGAAGACAACCAGATTTGGGACCAAAATCACGTATCTCTTACCAGACGTACAAAGGAGACTCCGAGCAGTGTGGATCTGGAGCAGATGCGATCCGGCGGCGGTGAAAACGGATGGCGACGCTTGCAACCGAACAGAGGAAGAAGATGAACGGCGACGGTATTTGAAGGATCTGAACGAACGACCAAGGTCTAGCCACTCCCACACAACAACCACAACTGATGAGACGGCGGGACATGGCGGAGACATGGCGGGAGACGGTGACGCTGGAAGAACTGAACGAACAGAGGAAAGAACTGATGAGACGTTGGAAGAACTGAACGACCGACCACACAAGAACCCAAACTGTTGAGACAGCGGGAGACGGTGGGCGCACGGCGAGTATATGGCAGCAGACGTAGGGAGGAGTTTTTTTTAGCTTCAGAGCGTCTTGTGGCTGAGTGCGTGTGTGCGTCTTTTTTTTTTGTCTTTGAGCTGAAGTGAAGTGAGAGAAAATACATGCAGAGGGTCAGTTAGGTAAAAAAATTAAACACACTCCAACGGTTTCATCACCCCAGCTGCGCATCCGAAAAAAAAGCTCCTTGTATGAGCTTCTCTCAGAAGCCCATTTAAGCCTCAAAAGTCAGATTGGGTAATCGGGGATCCAAACACTCAAAAATCACAGCCACCCCAAAAGTCCGTTTGGGACGCACATTTGGGGGCCTAAACGTGATCCCAAACGGGCCCTAAGTCAACTAACAGTTGACTATTAGGGTTTGTTAACAGAGGGTTACATTGCTATGTTTTTACTACTTCCGGGCCAACATTACTCCAAAAAAAACTTTCTAATGCCTAGTACTCTTTTGTGAAAACTTTTGGGACAAAAATGACCTTTATCCCAATTTTCTAATTCACCTTAATTAATTAATTGTCTAAAAACTGCCTTTTTAATAGGCATTAAAACTGTTTTTAATCACTATCATGACAACCCAATGGTTGTATATTATCTGTCTATAAAAGGTAGTGCGTGGTGCATGGTCAGATAGAGTTGAGTTCTCTCCCCAAGCTCTCCTCCTCTCTCTCTTCTCTTGAGTTTTAAATTTTTGTTATTTAGTCACCCTACTTTATGTGGAAAGGATTTATTTAATCCTGGTCGCTTTTTATTCTAATCTTGTGTAACAGAATAACTCTTAAGAATAATATCTCTGGACATGACTTGAATCATATTTTCATTATTTTTAAAGGTGTTGTCAATAATTTATTTTGCAAATGAAGGCTTGGTTGGAGCAAGATAAAGCTAGTAAGATGAGCAACTTCTAGGTTTTCTTCTTCTCACTTGTCAAAAACAAAAACTGCTGGATCTAAGGGGTTGTGACTAAAGGAGAGAAAAGAAGCTTAAAGAAAAGTGATAGAGCCATCGTGGAGGAGAAAAGAGGAGGCTAAGATAGTAAAAGAAAGATGATGAAGGAGGGAAGAAGGAGGCACACGGGAAAAAGGAAAAAAGAGAGAAAAGGAAAATCATAGAGGAGAGGAAAAAAGGAAAGAGAAAAGGGAAAAAAAGAAGGAAAAGGACAATAATGGAGGAGAGAGAGGGAGTCGCATGGAGAAGGAAAAAATGAGAAAAAAAAAATAGATTTAGGTAACATAAAAATATATATTTTATATATTGTCTGAAGTATGGGTCAGATCAAACATGATGATCTGGTTTATAGAGTTAGCCTAAAACCTGATCTGATCCGATGGTTAATTTGGTCTGAGTTGGTTTGATTTTTTGTTTGAACAGTTTTGTTCGAATTGGATTGGACCATGCATTCATCATATTAGACTGGGTTAGTTGGATCATTGGATTTTTGCATAGCCCTACTTAACATGAGATTATTGAGAGTTTAATTGACTAATTTTAGTAGATTAAGAAAGTTTGTTAAGTTAGCTATTTAGAATAAATATGTGTTATCTTTCCTAAAATATTCTTACCAATCATGTGTATTAGTTAGAACCACTATTTAATGAAATCTTTAATATATGCAACTACTATAATGACTACTTTGAAAAACATAAAAAAAATATGAGAGACAAAGTAAATTATGGTCTTATATTTAGAATCAAATTAAATATCAAATAGTTCTTATATTAAAAATCAAAGTAGTATTTAATTTTCACTAGTTAATACATTTAAATTTTTGGATGTAAAGGTAATTGAAAAATTCAATTTTCATATTAGTTCTCTCAATTTTACTATTGAAATGTAAAATACTTTATTTCTTTCTATGCTTGAGACAAAAATGAAAACACTCCTAGACGCGTACCTGCTTAGGTGGAAAGATTGGTTCTCTTGTTGTAAATTCATAGTAAGACACCTTAAGGGCCACTACAACACACTTGGTAATTATCTTTCTAGACCATGAACTTCTCACACTTAGAAAAAGCCCTCAGTATTCTCCTCATGACAGTCCCTGAACCCTATCTAAAAGTGCCTTATAGAGTCAAAATCACTATTTTCCCTCTAGGATCATGACCTAAAACGCCTACTGATATTCATAGCCTCACCAAAGGAATTTTGTTTTACTAGTTCAATCTTCTGTTTGTCAACACCCAAATCCACCCTTATCCCCAGCACATTGATCTAAACACTCCTTATCTTACCATCCCATCATTAAAGGACCCATTCTAGAGAAACTATTATGGTATCTCTGGGATCTTTTAACTATTCATATATATGCCATAGCCTTCCCAGCCTTACCCATGTACCATTACCTTTGTGATTCTAGGAACTAGAATTCCTATCTTGTTACCTTTTTCCAAATGTTTGCTACTTTATCCTATTGGAGATGAAAACTCTAATCTTCTAAACGAGTATAATGTGTGAAATGCACCAACATCAAAGCAACAAAAGTTTTTCTATTTTGTCACATTTTTCAAGTATTATGAAAGAGACACTGATGGAAGTCTTTTCCTAGACAACTGTCTCAATTTCTAAAATACTTTTGTTCTATGATTTAAATATGAGAGTAAGATAATGAAGAAATAAAAGGCAAACTTTAACTACATTTAATGAGCCAGATACTTTTGAAGATTCTACATGTGTCTCTTTTGGACATTTTTCTCCCAATTCCCCTCAATAGTTTGCTGCAAGTTCATCAGCTCTCACATTACAAGAATTCCAAAGAAATTTTATCTTACAAGCCATCAAACTTCTAGTTCTCGTAGGAGAATCTCAAGATCTGAACCCTATGGACTCACAACCCTTCCAACTAACCCAACTAGAAGGCCTTCGACTTTTTCAACTAGAATTACCACTTTACCAGGTTCCAGATGTGTAGTTGTCATCCCCTACTCAATGGGGTGGACCACTTTCCTAGGATCCTTATGAATCATATAAAGAATAGATTATGTCCCCTGTAATAATTATGATTCTGAAGATGACCATAACATGAATTCATCTCTAAGTCATGAACCCATCTTCAAGAAAGGGTTCACTCATAAGGAATATGCTTTTAGTACAAACGTGATTACTTTATGCCATATGACAAGTATGGGTGTAAAGTGTGCTTTTGCTTTTTCAGTTGTCACTCTATGAGCTTTTGCTTTGTCAAGAATATTTATTTTTCTAAAGTAGGGTTGCATTATTGCTTGTAATGGTTTAAGTTTGTTCTTTAAAGTCTATATAAATGAGCATTTGGTCTCTTGAAGAGGCATTGAGTATTGTAATCCCTTATTATGAATGAAAGTATATTTTGGATAACATCTCTCTAAATCTTCTTTTTTTTTCTTTCTTTTTCTGAAAACTTATTCTATCTGTCTCAAAGATTTCAAATATGCCCTGCACTTGCCTCTTATGAGGATCTTGTGTATATAAAAAAAAAAAATCAGACCATGATCTTGTGAGGTGATCTCTTTTAGTTGAAGAGGTTTTAATTTGGAATTAGTTAAAGTATACTTTTAGTCCGTAAACTTTACACAAGGTTTCATTTTGATTCCTTAACTTTAAAAAGTAAACTTTTAATTCTTTAATCCTAAAATTGTTAGCAAAAAATGATAATATTGAGCTTTTGAATACTGATAAAATATTACTAAATCCTAACATATTAAGTTTAATATTCAAAACAACCATGATCGTTATAAAAAAATTATCATTTAAAACTAACAATTTTTTATGTTAAAGGACTAAAAATATATTTTTTTGTAAAGCTAAGGGATTAAAATGAAACCTTACATAAAATTAAAAGACTAAATGTACATTTTAACTTTTGAAATTTTATAGGTTGAAATTTTAACGTGGTTTGTGTGAGGCATGGAGAGCCAATGACACAAATGTAGGAAATTGCCACACTCTCCAAAGACCTTATATGCTATTAATTATGGCTCCCACGCTTAAAATAAAAATTATTACCAGAATTAATCTTCGCTTTAGCGGTAAAGTATTTATACATTTGAGCAAGTGATGATTAAGCGACGCGAATTGAGTTGAGCCTTTTGCCTTCTCATTAAAGTTTGGTGGCATCAGCTTCTGGGAAATAGGAATAAAATAACAATTTGCTTTTCATTTATTTATTAATTAATTTTGAAGCATCAAAGCAACCTGGGCGTAATTTCGATGTTCTTTCTTAGTCTTCGTGTCCAGTTGTGCTCAGGTCTTCGGCTGCTTTTGTGAGCTTTGCACCCATGCTTCCAAAAATATGTCTTTTCAATTTCCTCACGAGAATTTTTTTTTTTTCAATCTGGCCCCAGAAAAATCACAAAAAAGACTGTTAAGATAGAAAAATTATATATAGAAACCTGTTCATAAAAATTATTATCAAAACCTACAGTAACATTGTCATGGATCCCAATTTATAATTTTTATTTATTTTGACGGTCCTTTTTTTTTGCTATTTTTCCTAATTAATACCCTAATTCTTAAAATGAAACCTAATTAATTAATTTAAATAATTTAAGAATGTCAGTTAAATTAGTTAATATGATATTTTTTTTAAACTACTCTATTATCTTTCTTAATTCCCTTCCTCTCCTTTTTATTTGATTATTGTTGAGAGAATATCAATAGGATTAATTTTAAAAAAATTGATAAACATATTAAATATATCTTATATTTGTGCCAACATGAATTCTCCAATTAAGTCTTCTATTATAGTTTTTTGACCTGAGGTTTAGTAGTATAGCATATTGATATATTGATGATTGATATATCTTTTTTTATAATCTCAATTAATATAAATAAAATTGAAAAGGAAATTAATTTGAGACTAAATTAACCACGAAATAAAATGTGCAAATGTAAATTTTTGACCAGATCTACAAAATCTACAAAATCTAAATTTAAATCCATCATTATTCGGGATTTATTGCAGTTTAATTTATTGTAAATTCTAATAACGAATTTTATAATTGATTGAATTAGCAATTTATGTTATGTTTTTTTTTTTTTTTTCCCAACGAAATTGCAATCCGATGAAATCCTAAGCCCCACCTTACTTGAGCTCTTATAAATCCGTGAAGACCCCGAGCTTGATGTGTTACAGTTCAGTTGATTCCGATCGAAGCCTCGCCGACGAGAGCCAGGGGGCTTTTGAGTATTATTGGGCGCATTATCAAGATCACCATCTCTCACAATTGTTCCTCAAAGCACGAGGTCTCTCTCCCTGCTGAATCTACTTTCGGTGAGTTTTTCCTCCTCCTATCAGGGACGACCTTTGGTTGGCTACTGAGTTTCACTTCATTATGTTATGGCTTTATACCAAACAAGTCCAGGCTGATGATAATCATACTCGTTTAGTTAAAAAATGGTGAGGCGATTGGCCAAAAAAAAGCCAGTGAGGCAAATTTTGAGCCCGCGGATTTTATCAAACCAACAATGGCCATCAGTTTTAGTTCCTTTAACGGAGTTGATCCCGAAAGCTATGCTGACAATCATGAATGTAATTCATACTTGTGTGCGTGTGTGTGTAAAAGAAGTCTGCACCAGAAAACAGAATTTCAAAACTATAAATTTGTACTCTCTCTCTCTCTCTCTCTATATATATATATATATATATATATCCAACTTAGATGCATAAACTTTCATGTTTATTTATGATCTTTACTAAAATAATATTTAAACACAGAAAGTATTGGGGGAAAAAAGACTTTACGGTCTTTACCAACCAAGTTTTTGTGAACTTAATGAGCTCGAGTATAAACTCAGTTAATAAATTTATTAATATGTTGATCTAACTCGTTCACTAAATATGTTTGATAAGCCAAATTGAGGAAAGTAAGAAGGAGAGGCCGAATCTGATTAGTTCACCAGCAGTTTTGTTGTTTTGCGCCTTTAGTTCAGGTGAATCCTAATGCAAGGTAGCATCTGAGACTCTGCTATTAGGTTTTATCTAAAAATTGGACACTTATGATGAAAATTCCAGGAGTTGGGATTGGATTTATTATTTTGTTAATACGTATCTTCTGGTCATATATACTTGCTGGTTAGTGAACTTATTATGATAGTTACTATGGCACCAGGCACTTTGGTCGGAGACGTTCATTTAATTATATTTCAATGTGAAGAATCTTTAAAATGTGTTTCAGGTTGGTAATTTTGGATATTGAGTTGGAGAACATTTTATATTTTGAGAAAATGTTGATAGGATTGAAGTTGATGAATCGGATGCAAAATACATGGGATACGGCTTGAAAGTTCATGACTAAAGTAGTTGTTGAGTAATTTAGCCTGATTTCTTTCCATAACATTTCTCCCTCTTTAGAGCATATTAAAGTTAAACCCTGCAAAATGATATCGATGTTCTTTATCTAAAATCTATCTAGAAACTAGGAATATGCGGTAGAAGAAGCTTGAGATATTGAATATATTATTTTCTTTTTTTAACACGTATTAGCCTTAATTAGATCTTCAATAACAGGGGATGTTATGTTAAGAGACTGCTTGCACATAAAACGGGATTATTATGTTAAGAGACTGCTTGCACATAAAACGGGATTAGAGCCTGAAGAGCAAATACTCATCTTCCGAGGAAAAGAAAAGCAGGATGAAGAGCATTTGCACTTGGAAGGCATAAAGGACAGTTCAGAAATATTTCTTTTTGAAGACGCTGCTAGCAAAGGGAGGAAACTTGAGGAAACCAGGAAAAAGTTTGACATGTCGAAAGCTTGTGAGGCTATTGCTGGAGTTAGAGCAGAGGTGGACCAGCTCTCTGAGAGGGTGAGTCATTGCTTCCTATTTGACTGCTTCCTGAAGAAGCATATTAGGTTAGAGTAAGTAAACCATGTTATATAGAGAATGATCATTGGTCTCATTTCAACCTTGCAGATGACTGCCTTAGAGGTGGCTGTAAAATGTGGAACCAATGTTGCGGAGAATGAATTTCTCTCCTTGTCTGAGTTGCTTATGAGGCAGTTGCTGAAACTGGATGCTATTCAGGCTGAAGGTGAAGCAAGGCTGCAGAGAAAAGCTGAGGTAGTATTCATGGTGTCAAGTCTAATCTGAAATTCTAATGTGTTGTCTCTTGTTTATGCCTTTTCATGCAATCCTTATGTTGACAAATTATAAGTCATGGACCATGATTAGTGACATCTGTCGATATTAGTGTTTAAAATAATGAAGCAGAATGTTGTCTAGGAAAAAAAAGCTACAAGTGATCATATGCTATCTCTTCTATGAAGTAATTTCCATGACGACGCATCATACTTAAGGCTTCTTTCAGATCAATTCTGATGATGGTGCAAATATGTTGCGAATAACAGAGTTGTTAGTAATTCTAATAATGGATATTCATTGCTTTTTTCCTCCATGGGAAGATTTCAATGCTCCACCAAAGTTTTTTCTTCTTCTTTGTGATAGAATTGATAATTTGGTTGGTTGTTTGAAGAATAAATTGGAGACATTTGTTCTTACTTGTATAGTCAGGAAGGCTCATTTGAGGCTGGCTTTTTAAATTAATTAAAATTGTATTTTCCCCCTCTGCTTTCATTGTTCTAGTTCTTTTTTTTCTTTTCCTTTTTTTCTCCCCTTCTGTTTTTAATTAATTTCACTTCATTTGGTGGGATAATGCTTGCCGTTGTTGTATTGTTAATTAATTTCAATGTTTTATTTGATGGATTGTTGGATTTTTAATTATTATTTGCAATTGTGAAAATGCTATTGCTTAAATGACTTTGAAATGCTCTGTCTACTGCATTTCTCTCAGATTAAGCTTTGTGAACTTCTACACATTTATAAAATACTACCTACGGTCCTAATTATAAAAGCTAGTTGACTAATTTGAGGAGATTAAGGAAAGAAGTTAAGTTAGTTATTTATAATAAATATGTATTGTCTTTCCTAAAATGTCCTTACTAATCAAGTGTATTGGCTAAAACTACCATTGTTAGAAAGACTATCTTGGAAAAAAAATACATAAATATGAGAGACAGGGTGGATTGGGGTCTTATATTTAGGACCAAAATAAAAGTCAAACAAGGTCTTCTATTAAGGACCGAAGGTAGTAACTTTCCTAAGCTGTCTTCTTTTTTGAGTTATTCACCAAAGAACCACTTGCAGGAAGATTATACTGAAATGAGGGATCTATTTCTATGATATCAGTATTAAGTTAATATTATTTAGGTTTGACATAGTAACAAAATTCATGTAATGGTCCTGAAAATTAGTATTCTTTCAGTGTGAAGCTTTATATACTAATTGAATAGTCACAACTTGCTTTCATTTTTAATTTGTGGAACTACAGTTTTGGTCTGGAAATTCTTCGCAGGTTTAATTTAGTTTCATTCTCTATTCAACTTTTAAGTTTGGGGATTAAGGTTCCTTTCAATATATCTACCTTCTGTTTTAGACTTACCACCTTAGGGCACTATACGATGTTAGTACTAATTGTCTACCATGTGAAAATTTTAGACGTTGTTCATGAAATCCGTCTTTCTGATTCCACAGAATCTGTCATGTAATCATGTTTTACTGCTTTCTATCCAAATAAAGTGTTCCCGTGGACCCCCATCTGCTCACCCTTCTTTCCCTAATAGATGCTGCTAAACGGATATCAACTTGCCATTAATTCACTGTTAAGTAGCTATGATGTGTTGAGTGTTCAAATGCATGGACAGCCAGTAGCCCAGTAGGCTTCTTTGTTAGATAATTTATAATCATTTTATTTACTTTATCCCATGTGCATGGAATATCAGGATGCATTTTTGCTTAGAATATTGTGAATGGTTGTGAGATTGATTTTTTTAAAAATTTTAATCTTAATTACCTGTGGTAAATCATATGACTTTTCAAGATTTCTTCTTGAGGCTTTCGTGTAGCATTAGGGTTACACTTCTTGACTGCAAAAGCCTGAACGTCAGTTCTACCACCCTGCTTCAGGTATGTCGAGTGCAGAGCATTGTTGATAAATTAGATTCTCTAAAGGAGATAAACTCCAAGCCTTCTAGCAACAATGCCAATGCATTCCCAGATGGAAATGGAGAGACATTTGACTCTGGAACAGGAAACGTGAATGCTCCATCCCCAATGTCAACTTCAGGAGAATTAGTTCAAGATTTGGAGCAGTTTAACAGGGAGTTTGAACTTCGAGGCCCAGATGAGGCTGAGGATCCAAGCGCTAGTGAGGCTTTGTTTAGGAGAAGAGGGAAACGCTTAAGTAAGTCAAGTCTAACATAAACCCACATTTTGACTGTTACAGGCACTGGGGAAGAGCTTAATATGCAAAACAATGAATTAACTGGGCAATTCACAAAGTCGAATGCCGATTGTGGTACTTGAAATAACATGAAATTTTGTACCCAAGGAATTTTAATTGCTACAATTCAATTTTTTGGCATCTCTCTCTCTCTCTCTCTACACACACGCACACGCACACATCTTGAGATTTGAAAAAGAGGCAATTTCTACTCTTGTTTCCGTGATTTCATTCTTATGCTAAGGCATTTTTCACTCACTCCAGACTTGGGTGCTCAAGTTCAGGAGGGGACTGAAAGAGGGGCTACCTCAGGGGCTAGTGAACTGGAAGATCCCTTGGCTCTTGCTCACCCTGACTTTCATATTATCTCTTCCACTACTAGAGGTATGCAAGTTCATGTTTAAAGTATCATGGTGAATTTTGCTTCTGCTAACAGTGTACTTTTCTTACGCTTGTGCAGATTTCCAATTCCCTGGGCAGATGGAAACAGGGAATGGTGAGACCCTGGCTAATGGTAGTTCTGTCTTTTCACGAATTCAATCAATTCCCGCCCGTGCCTCAACCTCTGAATACTCTTTCGAGGTAGACACGTACGTCAATGTTGGGGAGATCCTACAGCTCATTTCACCTTCCCCGGCCGTTACAGGAGCTTCTGCAACTGTCTCCACAAACGTAGCAAAAGGTCTAGCTGTGTTGTGTGAACTGGATGATAAAGCCACCAAACTAATGGAGATGGCCTTTAACAAATATCCCAACCTAATGGTCGTTAGGTCTGATAGAAGGAAGAGCTTCATCGGTTGGATGTTTTGCTCTTTGTCCAATCTCCTTCAACTACTTTCAACGGCGTCTGCTGGCACCTTGGACGAGCCGAAGATAAGTGAGATTGAAGTTGTGCTTGGAGAGCTTGAGAGCTTTGGCTTTGATCGTGGCTTCATTAATGAGATGCGCTTGCAGGTGAGTGAGGCTTGGGAGGCTCGGTTAGCAATAGACAATGCCAGCTTTGAGTTGAAGACGCTGTGCACAAAGGCAGAAGATCTTAGCCAAGAGATTGCGAACATGGAGCGTAATTTAGCAGCGGCCAAAGCTGAGGCTGCACAGGTTGAAAACAGAATAAGCACTTTGTGTGAATTGGTAGAGGGGAATCGCTCTCCTATATTTAAATGGATTGCATAAGATTAAGAAAGTGGTTGGAAGATAAGTATTTTGTGTCATGTGCATATAAACCCCATAAGTATTTGCGAGCCTTAATCATATAAAAATGTTTTCGACGTGTTAATTTGGCAAGCGTTGCTCATGCATTCTGCGCCATTGTGTTCCAGACGCCCCCCCCCTCTCCTTTTCTCCAATTGGTCATTGTGGGTATATAGATTGAATCAATCTAGTGTTAAAATGAATTTATCTAGGCATTAATTAAAATATGATACTTATGTTAAATGCTTGTTTATAATATAATTATGTAATTAAATTATGAAGAATTGCATCTAATTAGTATTTATAATTTAATTAAAATTCAACGCCTTTAGTAAATTAGAAGAACAATACAGTTTGCTACCTTGTAAAATTTACCTATAGTATGTAATTTTAACCTCATGTTATTTTTTAGGTGCAATTTTAATCATAATTATACTTATTGTTATGTAATACTCCTCCAGTTTTTAATATAATATCTATTTAACTAATTTGATTAGATTAATAAAGTTAAGTAATTAGTTAATTATAAAAAACATGACATTTTTTCTAAATATCATGATCATGTTCCTTAATATCCTCTCTTCTTTTTCTATTTGATTATAATTTAGAGAGATTTATCGGAGTAATTTAGAAAAAATTGATAAATATGAGAAATATGTCTTATATTTAAAACCAAAATCAATTCAACAATTAGATCTTATATAAAAGATAGGAAGAGAAGTATTATTATCATTATTTTTGAGTCTTTCAATAAAAAGTCTATTTGCACAAGTAGAAACTCCAGAGTTTAATAAACAGTGAATCTTCTTATGTTTAAACTTGAATAAAATCTCGCGCATCCACCGGTTTGGGCATAATTTTCCAAGCACAGAAGTCTGATATATAAATTGTCAAACCCACTACGCTTCCTGACATGATGCTATGATAAAGCGACTAAAAAATAACGTCACATCTGATCTTATCAAATCAAATTCTCTCTCTCATTTTCCAATTGTAGAATCACGAGAAACAAACCTTGAACCATTAAATTGTCCAAAAATTCTTCTAGCCAGCCTCCAAGCGGGAGTATATATTTACTCCTCCGATCTTTATTATAAGATTCTATTTGATTTTTTATTTGGTCTTAATTATAAGATCTCAATTCATTTTATCTCTTAATTTATACATTTTTTTTAAGATAATCCTTCTAATAATGATAGTTTTAGCCAATATACTTAATTAGCAAGGATATTTTAGGAATGACAACACTTATTTATTATAAATAACCAACTTAACTTACTCTTTAATCTCCTCAAATAAGTCATTGGGTCTTATAATAAGGACCGGAGGAGTATATTAATAAAATAAAATAAAAAATTAATAGATTTACTTCCTGTATCCTTATTAACTTGTTCTCATAGAAAAACACACATATCTTTGACAAAGCAAAATTCATGCATTATGTCAGAATTATTTTTTTCCAGTTTGCCTCATTTAATACCATAATACCCTCAATTTAATGAGGATACTATTAAAACAAGTAATAATTATATTTTAAAATTCAAATGGAGCATATAGAAGTATTTAAAGATAAAATAAAAATTTAAATCAGATAAATAAATAGGAATTAAGGAAGTACTCCTCTGGTCCAATTATAGAGTAAAAAAAAAGGTTGTTTTATCCTATTTATAAGTCATTTTTATTAAATTTTATCATAAATGTACTATATCGTCTTTTATTTATTATAGTGTAGATAATTATCTTTTTTGAAAGATGTATATATTAAATGAGGGTAAAGTTAAAAAGTTACTATATTTTAACGAAGAGTTAATATATTTTAAGTTTTTTCTTAGTATGTGTGAAATATATTGAAAACACCTTATAAATAGGACGAGAGGAGTATAAGATATAATAAATAGACGTAAATGTTTTTTTGCCAAAAATAAATAGATGTAAATGTGGAGATGGGCATTTAAAAACATTTAATTTACCTATTTGACTTACCTTATTACTCCTTGTTAACCTTAAGAGACCAATTGATGACGGCGACCAACCGTTCTCTATAAAAATAGATATTGCGTCCCCCTTCGATCTCTGTCTCCAGTTCACCGCCCTCTTCTTCGATTCTAGCTCCTTCCTCTTCTAACTTTCCCCATTCCTTGTCAAGCTCCGTCCCTAGCGTTTCTCTTCATAGGACTTCTGCCATCCCGACATCTGGAAGTCCATTTTTAAGCTTTTAAATTGTCTGTGTCAGGCGGAGCCCAATTTTGATTATGAATAGCTCGATTTCTGTGGCGGCCCGCCGCCGAAGCAGAGCGATGAGATCGAGTGGGAGATGAGGCCTGGTGGAATGTTCGTCCAGAGACGTGATGCTGTTGGTGTTGACGATGACCACGGTGGAGTTGGTTCTTCTTCACGCGCTGGGCCCATGATCAAGATCAATGTCTCCTATGGTTCCTCTCAGCATGAGGTTTATCTCCCAGCTGAATCTACTTTCCGTAAGTATCTTCTCTTGTGTTTACGATGCCTCCTAGATTGTTCGTGAATTTGAAGCATGGCTTTCAATTGAACTTGCTTATTGGACTTGATTATAGTGATTGGTTCGGAGGCTGCTATTTGAAGCCTTTCAATGAAGTTGTGTGCCACATTGGCCGCGTATTTTGTGTCTGAAGGGTTTGGAACCTCCGGAAATTGGGATCGTTGTGCTTTGGTGAATGTATGATGTGAATTTTGCGATGTGACCTATCTTTCTAGAAGTTCAATTCATATACCGTTTTGAAAACCGATTTTGCTTGTATGAAGGTCGATATAAGCTTTAAAATTATACTTAAAATATCATATTTGCTTGAAAAGACTGACATTTGCTTTAAATTGATCTAGGTAAATGGGTTAAGTATTGCTTACCATGATGGACCACGAAACTTCAGTTCATTCATTCAATATTCTTAAAATTCATAAGCTCAACCAGAGTTTCTGGTACATATACACATTATATGGTCAACCAAACTTCCATATTTTTATCTCCAAACAGATCATCGAGCAGATATTATTCCTTCTTCGGGATCTTAGAATCATGTTGATACTAAGATTTACATAATTCTCACTGTAAATCTTGGAAAGCTATCATCGAGAACCCTTATTATATATTTTAGAACCATAACCGTCTAACTGCACCTTTGTTCTACTCATTCTTAAAAGATGATCAAGGGTAAAATTATTATAGTTATAATAATTTACATACCTAACTTTAATATCAATGGTTTAGGATAAATAAGATACTTAATATCTATGAAATATTTTATGTTCTTATTGATTTATTGCTATACCTTATTTACCTTGATTGGGTCTTCAATGACAGTGGATGCCAAGAAACTACTAGCACACAAAACAGGTTTAGAGCCTAATGAGCAACGACTGTTCTTCAGAGGAAAAGAAAAACAAAACGAAGAGCACTTGCACTTGGGAGGTGTAAAGGACAAGTCAAAGATGTTGCTTTTGGAGGATGCTGCTAGCAAAGAGAGGAAACTTGAGGAAATGAGAAAGCAAAATGAGATGTTAAAAGCTTCTCAGGCAGTTGCTGGAGTCAGGGTAGAGGTGGACAAGCTTTCTGAGAGGGTGAGCCTTGTTTTTGGCATGGCTAGTTATTGAAAAATCATATTACATAGAGAATAACAGTTTGTTGTATTCTAAAATTTGCAGGTGGCTGCCTTGGAAGTGGCTGTGAATGGGGGAACCAAGGTCTCGGAGAAAGAGTTTCTTACATCAACTGAGTTGCTTATGAGGCAGTTGCTGAAACTGGATTCTATTGAAGCTGAAGGTGAAGCAAAGATGCAGAGAAAAGCTGAGGTAGTATTTCCTAATCTGAAGTTTTTACTGTTTGTTTGTTATTGATGTCTTTTGCTTATTCATGCTATCTCTTATTTCTTATGTGGTAATTTGAGTTATAAAACTGAGTGGAATCCTGTGCATTGATTTTTGTGAAGTGATATGCGTTATGATGCATCAAGTGTTACCTTAGACAAGTTTAGACTGATTCAGTATGGTTCAATAGTGTAATTGCCTGTATATTAAAAAACTATTTTTGAACTTCATGGTATCTGTGTTTACAAGGTTTTTGTTTTCTGGGAATTGGTGGAATGGACTAGACAGCTGGGAGTAAGGAATAAGGAAAGAATGTTAAGTTAGGAACTAAGCATATGTTATTCAAACATGGAATATTAGATTTGCTTATCCTTATCTGCTGTCAATATAACTGCAAAAAAGTTGTAGAATCAAAGCAAACATGAAATCTATTCCAAAAAAATTGAACAATATGGGCATATAGTTGATAAGGTTGAGTTATAATTGGCAAGACTAAGGATGCAAAATGGTACATTTACACCCCCGTGATGTAGTAAATTATGAAAATGGAGAATGTTGAACTATGTATTGGTTTTGGAGGATTACTTGAGCCACGGCGGCTTTAAGCTGCTTAGACAAGGAGAATAGTGACTCGTTTTGGGTGGACCTGAAGGATTTCATATGCAGAGCAAGATATCTTTGAGTAGGCAAGCCTGATGGAGTAAGAGTAGCCATTTACCCTGTATGCATTAAGGGATGCGTTTATTTACTGTTAGAATAATGTAAGTAGGTGTGAACTTCGTATTCTTCTATTTGCCTGTGTTTATTACATTAACACATTGGTTTTTGGCAAGTGTATTTGCTTCCCAATGGATATGACAAATTCTATGTCGGTCCTTCATATATAGATTTTTATTTTCATTTTGGTCCATGATGATTTAAAATCCATGCAAACTAGTTTACCATTTACGAACCACGCCTCTGGTACCATGTCAAATTGAGTAGGGTTTGAGTCGCATAATTAAACTTATTGCCTTTGAAGGTCTGAACATCTGCTTTACAACCTCTGTTCAGGTACGTAGGGTGCAGAACTTCGTTGATACGCTAGATTCTCTGAAGGAGAGAAACTCCAAGCCTTTTAGCAAGAATGGCAGTGCAGTCTC